CTCACAGCCAAAGTTAAAAAAAGCTATAAATAATAAGACAGAGCTTTTAAAAAATGTAGGAAAATTATCATCATTTAGTTGTTACAAGGAATATAACAGAATATGTAAAAAGGAAATCAAGGCAGCAAAAATTCATATATTAATAGCAAAAGGTCAGGCCTGAGCATGTGTGCCCTTTATAAAAGAATCTAGAGTGGGTGATAGGGGACAAAGAGAAGGCAAATGTATTAAATACCTTATTTAGCTCTGTGTATACAAAGGAACATGGGAGAGCTCATGTCCACATTGGGGATGATATTGACAAAGCTCCAAAAGTCCACATTGGCTCAAAATCGATATGGTCCAGAAATATTTGGACAGAATAAAGGTTAATAAAGCACATGGACCGGATGGCATACACCCACGGATCCTTAACGAATTGAGCTCTGTCATTTCAAAGCCATTGTTTCTAATTTTTAGGGACTCTTTAATGACTGCCATAGTACCACTGGATTGGTGTAAGGCCAATGTGGTGCCTATATTTAAAAAGGGATCAAAATCTTTACCAAGTAATTATAGACCTGTTAGTTTAACTTCTATAGTTGGGAAGATACTGGAGAGTTTAATAAAAGACCACATAATGAGTTCTTGCCGGAAAAAAAATAATATTTTAAGCAACAGACAGCATGGATTCATGAAAAACAGAAGTTGTTAAACAAATCTGATTTCTTATTATGAGGAGGTAATCACAGTGGCGTCATTAGGGTTGGTGTCACCTGGTGTGGTTTTCTGAATGTGTGCCGAAGATGCAGCATGCGGTACTTTTGGTGTGCTTTCAGAAAATGCAAAAAAAATGCGCAACCTGATAGAAATCTATAGGACTGCAGCTATAACTGCGGGTAAAATGCAGGAAAACCCCCTTTACATTACACAGGCCCTGCACCTCTGACCCCCCTTACATTACAAAGCTCCTGCACTTCTGGACCCCTTTACATTATGCAACTCCTTGCACCTCTGGACCCCTTTACATTACACAGCGCCCTGCACCTCTGGACCCCTTTATATTACACAGCCCCCTGCATCTCTTGACTCCTTTATGTTACACAGCCCCCTGCACCTCTGAACCCTGTTACATTACACAGCTCCCTGCATCTCTAGACCCCTTTACATTACACAGCCCCCTGCACCTCTGAACCCTGTTACATTACACAGCTCCCTGCATCTCTAGACCCCTTTACATTACACAGCCCCCTGCACCTCTGAACCCTGTTACATTACACAGCTCCCTGCATCTCTAGACCCCTTTACATTACACAGCCCACTGCACCTCTGGACCCCTTTATATTACACAACCCTCTGCACCTCTGGACCCCTTTACAATACACAGTCCTCTACACATTACATAGCCCCCCTTTACATTACACAGCCCCCTTTACATTACACAGCCCCCCTGCACATTACAGAGCCTCCCCTGCGTATTATACAGTCCCCTTGCACATTACACAGCCCCACCCCCCGACCATTACACATCCCCCTGCACATTACACAGAACCTTTGAATCTATTCCCTCTCCTTCGCATTACATGGCCTCAGCAGCTCTACACCTTTCCTACTCAGCATGCAGAGCGGGAGACAGCAGCACTGAATAGAAAGTGGAGTTAACTTTTCATATTAACAAGCTAGTGATTGGCTGCTAGGACCCGCCCTCTTTTCAAGTGTTCTGCCTTCTGCTCTCCGCTCTGCTGCGTTAGTGACAGCAAGCGATGGAGGCAATCCAACGGATAGCCATGGGTGTCGCCCCTCTGGCAGGTGTCACCCAGGTATGAACTGAACCCCCCCCCCGCAGCCCCCTAGCGATGTCACTGGATAAGCAAAACCTTAGCCAAAGGAGTGGCTGTGGACGTGGTATACTTGGAGTTTCCAAAAGCGTTTGACACAGTTCCCCACACACGGCTAATGTGTAAGGTAAAGTCTACGGGCTTGGAAAAATCTGTATGTAAATGGATAGAAAACTGGCTAAAAGATCGTATTCAGAGAGTAGTGGTTAATGATTCATACTCTGAATGGTCTAGGGTTGTCAGTGGTGTACTCCAAGGTTCAGTGTTGGGACCCTTACTTTTTAATATATTTATAAACGATATAGGGTCTGGAATTAAAAATCCCATTTCAGTCTTTGCAGATGACACCAAGCTGTGCAGTGGAATAACGTCCTTACAGGATGTCTCCAATTTACAAGCCAACCTCAATGCACTGTTTAATTGGGCAACTATGTGGCAAATGAGGTTTAATGTTGATAAATGTAAGGTTATGCACTTGGGGGCAAAGAATATGCATGCATCATACATACTTGGGGGGTACAACTGGGGGAATCAATGGTGGAGAAGGATCTGGGAATTATGGTAGATCACAAGCTTAATAATGGCATGCAATGCCAAGCTGCGGCTTCTAAAGCGAGCAAAATCCTCTCTTGTATTAAAAGAGGTATAGACTCCAGAGAGAGAGATATCATATTACCCGTATAAATCATTAGTAACACCTCATCTGGAATATGCAGTTCAGTTTTGGGCACCAATTCACAAAAAGAACATTGGGGAACTGGAGAAAGTACAGAGAAGGGCAACCAAACTGATAAGAGGCATGGAGGAGCTCAGCTATGAGGAAAGATTAGAGGAACTGAATGTATTCTCTCTTGAGAAGAGGAGATTAAGGGGGGGATATGATCAACATGTATAAATACATCAGTGGTTCATATAGTGTACTTGGTGTAGAATTATTTACCTTAATGCAGGGGTAGGCAACCATAAAAGAGGTGGAGAGCTACCTGAACAATATGGGAGAGGTCAAAGATCACCAGGCACAGTGTTGCCTCCCCACACCTTATTTAAACCTCTAATTGCTGTACTACCATGTCGTAATTCCGTGCATGGATTTAAATCAGGTGGTAAGGATGCAACATATCTCCTCCTCAACATCCATCAAACACACTCAGATCGCTTTTGAGAAGAGAAGCGGTACCTGCTGTACTTGTGAATAAGCCCTTATTTGTATTCGCCACTGGCACCCTTAGGACTCGTTCACACGTAAAGTTGGGGGGGGGGTGTTAAAAAACCCTGTGGTTGAGTTGTGGTTTTACTGCCCCAAATCCCTATCCCCTTTAGCTGCTGAGGCAGCAGCCAAAGGTGTACATATGGTACAGCAGGAATTAAACTCCCTGGTACTTTTGGTGGGTGCTACCACCTGCCAATTGCGATGCCAATCACTGATGTGCAGCGGTTTACCGGCACCACAGGTGCAGCACAGTGCATTTGCAACTTTCCTGAATTAGCTGAACTTTGTCTTAGACTTCGATTATATCCTGCAGGTGTGGTGCACTTTCTGAAAGCGCACCAAAACTCTTACATTTAGGCTGGGTTCACACTGATATGGTGCAGAATTTTCAGCGTTTTCTGTGTGAATTCCACACCACATCAGAATCGCCCCTCATTCATGCAAATGTGTATGTTAAGTTAACACCCCGAAATCTGTCCACAAAACGCGGCTCGATGTGCAGAATCAGATCGCATAGGTGTGAATACCCATGTGATCTGATTCTAGTGCGGACCCAAAAAAGGGTCCTACACCTTTTTGGTGCGGGTGCGGTGCGATTGGAGCCATACATAATGTATGGCTTCAATCTCACCACACACAAATCGCATGTGATTTGCACAGGAATGCGGTGCCGTTCTTGTGCGAATCACATGTGATGTACCGCACAGCATATATGTAAACCTAGCCCAGGAGTTTTGGTGTGCTTTCAGAAAGTTCAGCAAAACTGCAGAATATAATAGAAATCTAAGGCTCAGCGCAGCAAACCCATAGAAAAGCTGCTGGTACACTGTACTGCACCCACAGTGTGAGTAAACTGCAACACCACAGTGTGAAAGCAGCCCTATACTATTATGCCCAGTGTATTGCTTCACACTGACCTGAAGATCTCTTCTTTCCTGCTGCTGGCATCACTCTGGAGACCCCTAGCCGGGATAAGAGGTGGAGTGCAGTTGGTATCACTCCGTATGGGACAGGAGCTGGCACTACAGAAGAAGCTGGCACTATGCGGATCTTGGTCCCTACTACAGCTCCAACTTTACAAGTAGTCCCTCTGCATTGCACTCTGTTTGATGCTCTGGGATGATGGGCCAGCAAGCCAAGGCCACGGTCTACCAGTCACCTGGCTGCAATCTTCTGATAGATCTACGGGTTGCTGATGTCTGCTTTAAGGTCATCATAGAGAACAAGGAGGCACTCTTTACGTCTGGAGGAAAAGAGATTTAATCTCCAAATGGTTTTTTCACAGTAAGAGCTGTGAAATGTGGAATAGACTCTCTCAAGAGTTGGTTCTGGTCAGCTCAGTGGATTGCTTTAAAAAAGACCGGGATTGTTTTCTAAATACACATAATATAACTGGATACTAACATTTCCCTGGTATACTTCATCCAGGGAATATCTGATTTCCTCTCTAGGGATCAGAAAGGAATGTTTTCCCCATGCTGGAGCAATTTGGATGAGGCTTTGCTGGGGGGTTTTGCCTTCCTCTTGATCAACTGTGGGTATAGGATTGTGTATATAGGATTGTATAGGAAAAAAAATGTGTTTTTTTTCTTTTCATTGGCTGAACTAGATGGACTTTAAGATTCTGGATAAAACAAAAACTGTGTATGTCTTCATTTCAGGGTGCAAAGCAACAAAATAATGATTATTTTAAAGGGGGGCCATTTGTTTCTATACCCACTATATGCATTGATGTAAAGACATCCTTGGTATGCATCTGTAAGGAGCATGTCCTTTACATCTATGACCTGCTTTTACCTATTTTGGACCACAGAACCAGCTAAATTTGGAGCAAAGAACAGCATTTTCTGCAGCAAAGAAAATTGTTATAGGTCTTTTAAAATATTTTGTCATGTCCAGAGGGCTGTAGGAAATAATTTTATAGGGACATAATTCATAGTGAGATAATACTAATTCTTATAGATAGCACTTACCAGTTTCAATAATCCCTGTTTCTGGGTGACAGAAAACAAGTCCGTTGTCATAAAAACTGCTTCGGAGGTGAGCATGCTCTTCAAAATGCTTTTTAGACACTGTGGGTTCCAGTAGCTGACATACCTCTTTTTCTGGATAGTGATCTCCAATAAATAGGGCAGGGTGGGTCAGGAAGTAGTATTCATTATAACTGGAGTATTAAATAAAGTATAAAAGTATATAAGAATTTAAATGTATATAGATATAATACATATGAGAACACACATTATTTAAATATACTGGGGGTGCTTTCCTAAAGGAGTTTATTATCCATTCATGTGAAAAGCAAACTTCTGTTTATTTTTTTCGTCTGCTTATAACTGGGTATTTAAAGTGAACAAACGTAAAATTTATTGAGTGAAAATTTTCAACGCTTTTAATAAATCAACTTCAGTGCATAGTCCCTAAGAGACTTCAGTTTTTACAAGATTATATGGACATACTGGAGTTGAATTATCATATTTTCACTTTAAACTGAAAATTCTTCCTGCGCCAAAGAAAGTAATACAGGATCTACCCTGCTGCTGTGCAATGTGATGAAACACACAAAAATGTGACAATTATAAATAAACAGCGCAAACATAGATCTCTATATTTTCACTTTGCTTACTGAATTTTCACCTATCTAAATGAATGAGATAAAATGAAGTGAAAATTTATTTTGAACATTTAGTGAGTTAGCCTCAATATGTTTGTACTATCGAAATACGGACGAGCCCTGAGGCCATCCTAAACACAATTATGAGTTTTAACGTCAGATGTTTGAGATTAAAAGTCAGAATTCTGAGTTTATAAAAGCAGTAGTCTCTGTTAGGAGGGTTGAGATTGGTAAAATTATAGGACCAATGAGCAACAATGTAGTACCACCCACTGACCATTATATGACCATCATTTTGCAGACAGACTGTGTTCTGTTCTATAAGATATATATATATATATATATATATATATATATATATATATATAATATCATCTTCTAGTGCCATCATACATGATATAAGGAACCAGGGAGCTGCACAGGGTTCTCTAGCTCCCTTAGGCTTAGTTCACACAAATGCAATGTGATTTTCATGCAATTTCCAGTGGGACCATGTGGTGTGATTGCTTTTGATGCAACTTCAATGCGACTTTACTTATAGATGTCGCATCAGCATGTGATAAGAAGCAATTCTTATGAGACTTTGATGACATGAGTGTTTTTTTAACCCTCATCTCTCCTCCCAGGTCATCCTTGCTGCCTAAAAACTCTTCTCACAGCACCTGAGTGTAGCTGAAACACACGTTCCTGCTTTGCGCATTCACTTGCATGGGCTACCCTATGCATAGCAAATGCCTAAAAGTAGCTCAAGAACCTTTTTTGATTGTGCAACGTTGTGTGTTTTATCAATGCGCACAAAACACACACCTGCTAACAGTGGCTTGGGTGTCAATAATTAGGCTGAATTCCATTCTGTGCATTTCCCAATGAGTGGCAACCCTCACAGAAAAAACATGGGTTTTTTGTCTGCAGAATGATGGTCAGGGGGTGGTACTGTTTTGTTGCTCATTGGTCCTATTGCACACAGGAGTAAAAAATGCAGTTTTTTACTAATCTGAAATGAGATGCAATGTTGTCTATGGGACATTGCACACAGCTGAGTAAAGATCAGTAACACAATGTTGAGTACAGTCATAAGTATAAATGAGAATGTTACAATACTGGTAATTGAGAAGAATTTTACTTGTCTATATGCTTACACACCTTTACTCGCCCAACATTACTCAGGTCTTGCAGACGGGTGTCACAAGTTCCCTAGTAAACATCAGGAAATGATGACTTCCATCTGCAAGAAGCCTAATAGAGATTACTGCATTTATAAACTCAGAATTATGACTTTGAGACTCAGAATTATGACTTTAAATTTCAGATTTCTGACTCTGAAACTCACAGCACAGCCTATGTCATTGTTAGTAAACAGAAACACAGGATCTGGCCGGTTCTTCTCTCTCTGAACCCTTTTTGTCTAGAAAGAGAAGATAGCCTGACCTGTATGATTAGAAACAACACACTTACACTTGCAAACAGCTAGATAGGGACATTTAACCCTTTGATCACCCTCCAGTTAACCCATCCACTGCCCTGTCACCAGTGCCATTAGTACAGTGTATAGATTTTGTTTACTGATCACTGTGTTGATGTCAAGGTCAGTTAGTGTTCCTCACAGCTAGTGTCAGATTTCCCGCCACACTATATCCATTTTAAGTTAACCCTTTGATTGCCCGCAACACTATCGCAGTGACACTATAAATTACATCAGTAGTATAGTGTTTGAACAGATCAGCAGCTTTGATCAAAATCAGAACTATACTAGTGTCCCCAATAGTATATTTTACCTAAAAACGCAGTGTTAGCAAAATCAGCCATGTTTGCTGCTAGCACTTGTGTTTAGATTCCCCCTCCTACCCCTAACAAGTGCAGCATCAGTGTAATTTCTGATCACTGCCACCTCTGATACATTGTACACAAAATTGCAGTGTTAGCAAGATCAAGCATTATCTCTGCTAGCACTAACAGGGAAATTATTATTATTCTACAGGATTTCTTTAGCGCCAATAGTGTGTGCAGCGCTTTACAATATAAAGGGAACAGTACAATTACAATACAGTTCAATAGAGTAGGAATAGGAGGGCCCTGCTCATGGAGCTTACAATCTAAAGGAAGGGGAGGTGGTGCAATAGGTGATAGCTGCAGGGGATGATCTGATGGAGGTGACTCAAGTACAGTTCTTAGGTGAAAATGGGGTAAGCTTCACTGAATAATTGAGTTCTCAAAGATTGGCTAAAGGTGGACAGAGTAGAAGCTGACCTGCCCTAATGAGGTAGGGAGTCTCAGAAGATGGTAGAGGTTCTGGTGAAGTTCTGAGGAAAGCATAAGAGGAAGTGATAAGGAAGCTAGAGAGCAAGCTGTCTTGGGAGGAGCAGAGAGGACAATTTTGGCCATATCTGCAGATAAGGTTGGTGATGTAGCTGGGGGAGTTTTGTGGATGGCTTTGCATGTTGCAGTTAATATTTTAAATTTTATACATTGAGCTAATGGAAGCTTGTGAAGGGATTGGCAGAGAGGAGCAGCAGTCATGGATCGGTTAGTAAGGTTTATACTGTAGGTCTAATAGCAGCATTCATAACAGACTGAAGGAGGATAGCCTGTGTAAAGTTAGGCCAGTGAGGAGGGAGTTGCAGTAATCGAGGCGGGATATATCCAAGGTGTTGATAATTTGTTTTGTGGTGTTGTTAGTCAGGAAGGGGCGATTTCAGAAAAATGTTGCAGAGGTTGAAGCGGCAGGATTTAGCCAGTGATTGGATGTGAGGCCCAAAGGAGAGATCAGAGTCTAGGATTACATCTAGCCCCTCTGGCATGTGGGAGGGACCAATGGTTGTGCTATTGATCCTAATAGTAAAGTCATGAAGGGGGGATTAGGGAGGAGGAAATACAATGGGTAAAATAAGTATTGAACACTTCACCATTTTTCTAGGTAAATATATTTCTAAATGTGCTAGTGACATGAAATTTTCACCACATATTGGTAACAACCCATGCAATCAATACATATAAAGAAACCAAACCAAATAAGTTCAGAAACAAAGTTATGTGTAATAGAATGGAATGACACAGGGGAAAAGGTATTGTCAGGGCTCCGGGTATGACCAGAGGTATGTGAACTGACGCAGGGAAACGCAGGCTTCAGATATGTTATAAACAATATAATTTATTAATACTAACAATACAAAATGCAGTGCAATACTAAAACATAAACAAAGTGCAAACGAACCAAACCAAGCCACCCACAGATAACAATACATACAATGCAAGCGTAGTCAGGCAGGCCGGGTCAATAACAATCAGGCAGGTAGGAACAGGAGGAGCAGGCAGAGAGTAGTCAGGTCACGAGCCGGGTACAGCAACTAACGGGCAGGTAGGTACAGGGGGTCAGGCAGAGAATGGTCGGGGTCACAAGCCAGGGATCAAACAGGAGAAGTCAGCAGAGGTCAGGATCAGGCAGGGTCGGCAACGAGTCAGTCAGGCAGGAACAGGAACGCAGGTAACAAGATACAGGGGCCCATAGAAAACCACACACCAAGGCCCAGACTGCAGGTCTGGCCATCCCTTAAATACACCTCCGTAATCAGCTTCAGGTGTTTGGCTGACTGCAGGGTTGAGTCTCTGATTGCTGAGAGCACCCGCTGGCCAGCCCTGGTACTGCAGCCCACAAGGCAGGTGAGTCCCACCATTACTGGCAAGTCCATTCCTGACAGGTATTGAACACGTGAATAAAAGGGAGGTGCAAAAAGGCATGGAAAGCCAAGACACCAGCTGAAATCTCTCAGTAATTAGAAAGCAATCCTGCCCCTTGTCAGTGCATAATATCAGTCTCAACTGATGGCCTATAAAAAAAATATATAAACAGCTCATGATAGATGAAAGAAAACAGCTCTTTCAAGACCTTCACAATCTTAGTGTTGCAAAACAAACTGATGGGATTGGTTATAGAAGTATTTCTAAACTTCTGAATGTTCCAGTGAGCACTGTTGGGGCCATAATCTGGAAGTGGAAAGAACATCATTTCACCATAAATCGGCCTTGACCACGTGCTTCTCACAAGATTTCTGACAGAGTAGTGAAAATAATTATCAGAAGAGTTGTGCAAGAGCCAAGGACCACTTATGGAGAGCTTCAGAAAGACCTGGAATTAGCAAGTGCAATTGTTTCAAAGAAATCAATAAGTAATGCACTCAACCGCTATGGCCTGTATGCCAGCTCATCATACAAGAGAGTCCATTGCTAAAGAAAAAGCATGCTGAAACTTTCATTTTAAAGTTTAAAGTTTGCTGCACAACATTTAGGCAAGCCTGTGAAATACTGGGAAAATATAGTCTGGTCAGATGAGCCTAAATTGAACTCTTTGGATGCCCTATTACACACCATGTTTGGAGGTCAAATGGCAATGCACATCACCCCAAAAACACCATTCCAACAGTGAAGTTTGGAGGAGAAAACATCATGGTGTGGGGCTGTTTTTCAGCATATGGTACTGCCAAACCTTAAATCATTGAACAAAGGATGAATGGAAAAGTGTTCTTGATAAAAATCTGCTGCCATCTACTAGGATGAAC